GGAAGACATGACTGGTTGAGCCAGAACCAGGAGGCAGAGAGAGGTGTCGGACTCCTCGTTCTTCATCATGGCCACCCAGAGGGCAGGTCCCGAGGGATGTGAAAGCCAGACGGCTGAGGAAGGAGAGAGCCGCATCCCTCTGGGCAAGGAGGGGACGAAACGGGCTGCGCAGCTGGTGCAGAGGAATCCGTGGGGTCGGGGTGTGGGCAAAGAGAGGGCGGACGAGCCAAATGGGCGTGAGGTCCGCAGAGCCTCTGCCTCTTGTCCTCACCGTCCTGCTCCCATCCCCTGCGTTGCCAGCGCGGGTGGCGCTTGGGGCTCGCATTGCTCCTTTTCCCTTCTCCCCCAGCCTGCAGAAAGTGTTGGCTTTTGGGCCAGGAAAGGGCTCAGACTGTCTCCTCACAGCCACATCTCAGCCTTCCCTCCCAGCCCCAGGTGACCGCCTCCACATTCTCCTTCTGAAGCCCGGCTTTAATTTAAGGAGCACAATTAAAATTTAAAATTGCAAATAGCTCACAGTTTTCTCGTAATCGTTAAACCAATATTTGAAGAGAGCACTGGATCCCACCTCCCTTGGAAGGTTCATGTATTTATAATATACTGAACCGAAGAGAAAAGCTACAAAAAATGGAGTGAAAAGTTGAGCTTGAGTCTTAAAGAAAAGGGAAGGAGGAAGAGTGTGACAAGGATATAGAAACTTCTTTAAAATATTTCTTTCTCAATATGCTCTTTTATGGATGCCATCTCCCAACACAAGTCCTGGGTCAGATGCTCCTTGGCTTTGAACCTTTAGTAGCCATTTCTGCCCCTGCGAGCCAAGAATAAGCTGTAGCTCATCCTAAAAGGTGTCAGGATAAACCGCTGAAGTTGCGAAGGAGAGGGTCCTCTGGCTCCTGGGGTTTTCTACAAGGACCACCAGCACAGTGGCTCCTGTGCCATCTCAGGAATGCTCCAGGAGACAAAACAGAGGCACGGCGCTGGTTTGGCTGTGAGGATGCTCTTGAGTAGTACAGAAAGGATTCTTCATTTGACTGCTACTTGGTCCTTCGCACAGAAAACCAGGGAATGGACTCACCTCTGCCCTCTCAAACTCCATGTGGTGCAAGACTGTGGGGGCAGCAGCAGAGAAAAGGGACCCATCAGGGACAGGGGTGCATCTGATCTCCTGAGGACCACGTCCTCAGTTATGTGTGGTGTGCTACTGGTCACTTCTGCCACACCAGCACTTCTCAGCTGCCCCCTCACCAACTGGCTAAAGGAGACCCAGGGCCATTCAACCCAACTGGTACATGAGGCGTTCTCGCAGTGCTCAGTCTAACGCTGGGCCTACACGCTTTGTCTCTGACACAAATTTCCAGTTTTGTGAGACCCCATATTCAATGTATGTATTTATGTCTTGCAGGTTATCTTCAAAGAAGAGAAGACACAGGTAAGAGTTGAGCAAGTATGGGTGGTCCCTTAGAAATATGAGTTTACTGATCTCTTTAAGATCTCATAAGGGCAGAAGACACTTTTCTACCATGTCTCCGTGTGGAATCCCCTTAGGTCCCCCCCATTCTCTGTGGCTCTGGGACTACCCTCTCCCTATTCAGCCTTATGCATTTGTCACATCCCATGGAAACTGAACCTTCAGGCCAGCCCGTGCAATAAGGCACATGACTGGAAAAGACCTTTTGGTATAACCCAGCCCCTGGCAACCTCATCCATATTACATCCATCCTGCATCTTGAGTCTTCATTTCTCTTACGGTTTCGTTTGCAAACAGCGTGACATCCCCCAGCCGTGTCCATCACTGAAACATTCTCAGAGTCAGTGGCTTTCGAGGGATGTGCTGGAAGAACTCTCCTGATTCCAGTACGTGTGCGTACAGTATTAAGAAGTATTCGTCTTCTCTATGGGAAAATGCCAAATCACCGGGATGGCTGATCCCTCTGAGGGTCCTTTTTGGCCAAGCCCACAAGCCAGATTTGTCAGCAGGCACTCAGGCCCCCTGTGCTGCAGCGGGGGATCATTAATCCTTTTCATTTTTATTGCACGCTCTTGGGCAATCTGGCTGTAACATTGATGTGTGATTGTGCAGCTTTTTATCGGAACAGAAATCTCCGAATTAATTAGCCATTTCTTATTTAGTTCTTCAAGCCCCAAAAGTAAGAGAAAGGAAGAAAGAAAACACAAAAAACAGTAAGTAGCAATTCATGGAGCTCCCTGCTCTGCCTGAGCTAAAATGAGCAATTCTGGTTTTGCTGGGATGGAAAAGGGTTTGTAGAGGCTGGAGATATTTCCTCTCCCTCTCTTTTGTGCAACCTGATTCAGTACTTTCTTTGTATCTCACAAGGATGAACAGTGTCTTGTTCATCCAGTCCTGAGCAGAGACTCCAGCTTTTCTGACACAGGGCAGCATGAAAGGATGAACTCGAATCTGCAGAGCGTGGTGTCTCGCAGCCAAAGGGCAGGCTGGCATGTCCTTGCTCATTTACTCATCCTCATTTGCTGCTCTTGGAGGTTACAGTAGGGGCTACCCATGGTATACGTGCAACCGAATATCTATATCGAAGGAGAAGGCGAGGGGGACTAGGGAAGAGAAGGGATTGTTTGGAGGCGATGGAGGTTGTAAAAAATCTGGGATTGAGGTTCCCATCTGCCCTGGAGTGTCAGCAGAGTGCAGTCCTTGTCCTGTGGGGCGCACAATCAAGGACTGTGGTACAAAATGTGGTTCCCCAGGGCTGGAAGGAGGATCTGTAAGCCATCCCTGGTTTTCACTTCCTTCTCTCTCTTCTGGGAATTGCAACTTATGGCTTCTCGCCTGTGAGGGAACAGTTCTGGGGTGGAACCCTGGGCACCAAAGCCCTGTTTGGCTTTGCTGGGTCTTGGGGTACTCCGCTAGAGACAGAAACTGAGCTTTTGTATGGAAATCTGCTGGTTTGTTTGATATTAGTAGGACCTGCCCTTTAATTCTTCCTGACAAAACTTATACTTTCGTAGGCAGAAAGGAGACAGTGGGACACTAGCCTCTGACCACCAGTGTCAACCAGTACGCACTGGGACTGAAGAGATTAGGAATCCATGAGGTGCAGAGCAAGTTGTGCTGTCTGCTCAGGCTGTCTCTATTGCGTGCAGAAAGCCCATCTCCTTTTCTCTATGATTTCTGCATGTTCAGTGGCACGGCCACCTTTTTTTTTTTTTTTTTTTCCCCTCAGACTGGAAAATCTCTGTGGTAAAACTGAGATTTCTGAGGTTGTCAGTAAAAGCAGGCATCTCCTCAACCCAACGTAGCACCGGCAGTATGCAGTAGCCTAACTGTGATTTAAAACAAAGCTCAGATGCCCTGCTGGTGTGCACTGACCCAGGGGAATGAGAGCAGCTAGAATTGCTCTTTGGGGATAAACCAGCCAAAGCGTTTCAGCTCTCTCCTTTCAGCTCACAAATCAGGGCTGAACCATTCCCAGTTTCTGCAAAACCTTCTTATTCCTCCCGGGTGTGGATCAGATAGATCCCATGAGCCCTCTTGGATCAGGATTTTCATATAATCACACTGCTTTGGCTTATCTTTGTGTCAAGCAGCTGGTTATCTAAATCACACACGACGTTTTTTCCTCCAGCAGAAAGGGAAAACTCTTAAACTGGAGGGACTGAGGCAGAGGGTGAAGAGCAAATGTGGGAATTTTCATACAAATCCACCATGTGAGGGAGAGATGTTCAGTGTTGCTGACTTCAGCTGTATGGAAATAAGGAAGGCGGATCCCAAAATGTGAAGTTTTTAAAAATATAATTATAGGGTGTGAAAAGCATCAGAGAGGACTGCCAGGCGTAGTTCAAGCAATTACCCTGGAGGTTGCCCTTTTGTCTTAAAGGAGATGCTGTTCTCAAGCAATTGATCTGCTGAGTTTTTATAGTTGCAAATTGCTAAATGCTTTCCAAGCCGGTCGTATTAGTGCTGGTATAGTGTGGTCATGAAACCGAAACGTTCCCACCAGCTAACCCATCGCTAGCTTTGCCTGCTGCGAGGCCAGCCTGAGCAGGCAGTTATGCTGCCAGATCTAAAATAACTGCTGTGGTGGGCAATGATGAGAGGGAATGGGCGCAGAAGGTGGCAGGTAGCCTGCCACCCGCATTGCCCTGCTCTCTGTGTGCAGGACTTCAGCTGCTGGTCTGGGTGACAACAGCCCCTCAGTAACAGGGCTGGGTCATCCACCAGTAACAGCCCGGCTGGAGCAAAGGGAAGCGGAGCAGGGTGCTGAACCTGGGTCCCTGTGCACGGTTTGCTGGTAACCACTCCGTGGCCCTGCCAGAAAAGGGAGCAGCAGTGGCTGGACAGGTATGAGAAGCCGGCCAGGAACTGTGCCTGGGGCAGGTCACAGTTAAGGAAGCTGTAATTTGTGTTTATACAGCAACCATAGGAGCTGCTTGTCAGCCTCTCACGTAGAGAGTGTGAGTGTGCTGTTATTTGGAGCCTGTGCTTCTGCATCTGCTCTTTAAGGAGGAGCCTGCACTACAGAGGGCGTTGGAGTAAGAAGTGTAAGGACTGGAGCTTTGCATTGGGTTGCCTGGAGTAGTGGTGCTCTCCCGAAGAGGCTCAGCAATGGGAAGCTCCTGAGCTGCTTCTTGGCTGTCTTAGGGTAGGCTGCAGGGTGAAGGGCAAGCAGGTGAGCAGGCAAGAACATAGCTCCAAGTTCTGGAAAGCAGAAAGGACTGATGCTGTCTGCTTTGCTCCTGCACACTAGTCCATAGATCTTCCCCCAGCAGGCTATGGAGCCAGCCTAATAGCTCATAGTTAAAATGCTGGCATTGATCTTGGTCAGATGTCTTGCCTTAGTGTCAGTGTAGCCATGATGGGATGGAGAATTTCTCGTGCCTTGGTGTCCTGCACAATGTTTCACGCACCAAACTCCCGGGGCTGCAGTGCGGATTTCCTTTCAGATTTGAATGTTACTGACTTCAACCTCCATCTGCTGGCTCTTTCTTCCCCCCAGTCTTTAGCCTAACTGTGGTTTTCCTCTCTGCTTCTTAAAGCTCCCGTGGGCGCACCCGGAAATCTCATCGCCATCGTCACCGCCGCTGCCACTCTCGCTCAGAGAGCTCCGACTCCCACTCCCCCAGCTGCCGAAGAAGGTAACATCACCGCTCCCTGAGCTGAGTGTCCCGAAATGCTTCCCAGTGGGCTCAAGGACATGACTGCAGTAGCCTGGGTGACCCAGAAACTCTCTCTGCAGAGCCATGTCCCGTTCTGGTAGCAGCTGTATCACATGGCAGGGGTTGAGCTTCTTGTGGTCTTGGCCATAGAAGGGTTTTGCCTCGAGGAGCAGCGGCTGCAGCTTTTCAGCCCAGCAGTCACTTCTAATCCCCATGGCTGATGATCAGCCCATGACAGCTGACTCCAGCCTAGTCTCCCTTCCCCAGCCCAAGGGCTCTGTCCTACTAATGATGTCCCAGGAAAACCTTCAACATGGTCTTAGCGAGGGAAATATATTTTCTGATGGCAATCTATAGCCACTGTCTTTGACCTGATTAAAATCTCCATCCTGTGGATGGCAGATGTATCCTGGGGCCAGCTAAGTGGATGCTGGTGCTAGAGCTGGCATCACCACCATAGCAAGTCTCATAGTTTATACGGATCATGAGTTCATGTTTCACGTTTTCTGAAAACACTCGACAAACCACATTCACTCTCCCCCTTCACTCCTCCTAACTACTGGGAATTTTCTACGAAAAGGTGATGATGGGTGTGGGGAGGAATACAGTCAGTAATCAGAGGGGTCTTCTCTTGGAGGTGTATTACCGTAGGGACCTTCAAGGCTGTGTGAAAGTATGGTTGGCCTTGAGCCAGCATGAAGTCATGGACTGGAGCTGAAATTTAAGGTTAAGGTCCAAAGCCTGGAGGCAAAATGAAAAGCAGAACACCTCTTTTCCTCTCCATCATGACTCCGCAGAGTAGTCATGCAGAAGACCTTCTCCCACAGGCAGTGGCTAGCACGGAGCTGCCAAGGGCTTGTGCGGAGCTGGTAACGGGCACTGCGAGATACTGAGGAATAACGGTTTGGCTGTTCATATCTTCTGGAGGCACAGAGCCAGGTCGCGGGAGGAAGGGCGTAAAACACGGCGAAGACGCTCCCGGCACCACTCAAAGATCATGGCAAAGCGAAGCTCCTCTGCAGAGGTTCAGGCCAGCCAAAAAGCCAGCCAAAGCCTCCCGCTCTACAGCTTCCTGTCTCCTAAGGAAGTAGTAAGTATTACACACTGTGCTTCTTTGCTTGAACTAGCCACAGGAATCTGGGCAAGAAATCGGATATGAAATTTTTATAACTCAATTATAGTGATGTCAGACAAAGTTGGTTAAAGCTGTATTATTTATTAATGGTGCTGTTCTCCAATGTATTGAAAGTCATTCCTTCCCTCAGCACTTTCACACCAAGGGTGGGGCTGGAGAAGGGAGAAATTTGCAAAGGCTCTAGCCTATGAATAATGAATTGAGGACATTTAACAAAAAGAAAAAAAAAGAAAAAAAAGTGGCTTCCAGCAATGATATTTTACAGGGAAGTGTTTGTTATGCAGTCTTTGCTCAGCTGGATGTGAACTTAATTCACCCATCTTCATGTCCAAAAGTTTAGTCCTTCAGGGGAAGAAAGGGAAGCAAACATATATAAAAGAAACATTTACATTTAATGAGTTGATGGTTATTGGCAGGGGATGTTTTCGGACTATCGGGATCCTTGTAGGATCACTGTTGCACTGGACTGACAAGCCCAGGGGCCAAATTCAGAACTTAGGAGCAGCTCTTGTTGATGCTAATGGGAACTGCATGTGCAGCCAGGGGTAAAATCAGGCTCAGTGCCTTGGGATGCTTTTCCGTGTACGTGGAAAGAGGTGATATAATATCATGCCTTAAAACTGAGGGGCCAAGAGATGGAGAGAAATATTAGATACAGATTGATACAAAGGCTTCCTTTTTGATGGCACGTTTCCTGGCAGCTGCAAAACAGAGGTGTGATGCTCTTTGATTGTGGTGTTAGCATCTGATAGGCATTCTGGAGAGAAAACCTGCTACACAGGGAGTGCAGAATCCCCTACTTGTGTGTGTGGACCTGTAACGTTAGAGGTGTCTTGAGTACGGAGTCCTCCAAGTCCCGGAGTGGCATTGAACAGCAAACTGGTTGTTTTCTTCTTTAGGCCCAGTCATGAGTTGGAAATAGCTCAGCCTTACGCAGTAGCTGCATCAGATGCGAGACAGATAGTGCCAGCAAGAGGAGAGACTTTATCTGCTCACTCGCACAGGCAGCGTCCTGATCAAAACACACCGAGATTATACATGGGTACAGACAGGCACAGGCTGTCTCTCAACGTTATAGATGTGCATATTTGCTCTTGTTATATACATCTACCAAGTACGTAGTGCACATGTGAGTCACGGCTTACAAAGACATAGGAGGTAGAGGGAATAGCAGACCCTGCACACCACGCTTAGGTGCGTGTGTGCAGAGAGAGAACAACAAGGTATGAAGCTTTTGTTGCCCTGAGCATGGGGTGTTGCCCTCTGTCAACTTGGGAAGGTAGGAATGAGTTAAGAGTTCCTCCCAAAAAACAACCAGCCAAAGACTGCATCATGTCACCAGGGTTTTGTTTTATGGTTTCTTTTTTTGATTCCAGCTGCATATTTACATGAATGTTTTCAAGTCTAAGCCTGGTTTTTAATTGGGGCTAGGTTTCCTCTCTCTGAAGCCAGGCTCCCCGAGTCCTGTGAGGCCGGCTGCCAGCTGTTCTGTTCCCTGAGCAAGAGTAAACTCTAATTGAAAATCGTAAAAGCTCCAAAATGAGCTAAACTCAAGCATGCTGCACTCCCCTTTCCACTTGCTTCACTTGGGGTAAATGAGCACACGAGCTGCAGGGCAGGGAAAATCAGAGCTTTGTAGTTACAGATGCAGGGGATGGGTGGATGTAAAGTACTCAAGCCCTGCTGTGTTCTTTCAAGTAAGGGTTAATAATGCAGGCAAATACTAAAGGTACTGATGCCTTTTAGGAATTGAAATATTTACCTACGTTATTAACCCTTACTAGAAAGAATGCTGCACGCTCTCTCGCGACCTTGTTCAAGAGCACGTTTAAGCACTTGTTTAAATTGAAGCCCCTGGTTAAGTGCTGCCCCCGAAATTTTTCTGAATAAGGTCATTAAATATCACGTACTCTAAACCAACAAGGGAGAAATGGAATGGAAACTTTTAGTCTCGTTTATTAATGGCTATACACAACTCTTTGATGCCTCTCCTTTCTGTGAGTTAAGTGGTTGCTCTATAAATAAGCTTAGTTCTGTCAGAATCTACTTTGAGAGCAATCTAGATGTGTTATGAAATGAAACTTTGCTCTTGCAGAAAATGTTTATCACATACCACAAAACAAATTACTAGAAAAGAAAAGATTTTGTGGAAAATTCCAGAATTGGGATTCAAAAATGCCATGTTTCTGTCCTCTATGGGGCTTGGCGTGTCACACTCCCTACCTTTCTCTCTGGCAAACCATCCTTAGCTGGGGAGGTGCCCTGTCGTATCTCCAAGGGAAAGGGATTGTCTGGGGAGGATCCTCACGTTCAAAAAGGACACAAACTCCCATGAGGTAATGCAATAGCTCTTCCAAATCAAAGATTTTTGCCTTTTAAGCAAAAAAAAATTCTGAAAATTTGAAGTGTTTTCTGTCAAACTTGTGCAGAAGCACCCAAAGTTCCCTGCCACTTTTTCTTTCTGGCAGTGAATTTCCAAGCTTCTCTTTCTCATTCTCCCTTTAACCCTGTGCAGCTGCAGTAGCCACCTATTGAGAATAGGATTGTGGGTCTGTGCCTCAGCGTGCAGAGGAACTGTGAGTAATATGCAGCATGTATTTTTGAACAGAATACCCCTAACCCACTGCAGACACTTTATTCCATGCTGACACAGATGTATTACATGCCACTATGCTTTTGGTTGAGCAGTGCAATATAAATATCTGCAGGGTGTGAATCTAATTGCCTTTGTTGCACCTGATGAAGATAACTGCACGCTGCATACGCTTTCCTTGCCAGCTCCTTCCGCTGAAACTCATTTACAATGTCACAAATTAACACAGGCTTGGCCAGATTTTCAGTGAGGCTCAGCGGGGTTCGGTTGTTCCAAATGATGCTGTTTGTGCTCCCGCGTCTGCAGAAAGGTAGGAGCGGGGAAAATACTGTGCAGGGGCTGAGGCAGCATGTGCAGGAGGGCACAGGAAACCTTACAGCAGACCTGCTTATTGGCTTGCTGTTGCTCTCTGTTTTATAGCCTGGGTTTGGGCTTATATAAGAAAAAGGAATTTTTAAACTCTTAGGCAGCACGTTTCTGACAACAGACAGGACCCCTGAAGAGCAGAAAGACAAAGCCTTCACTAAGTATGGAAGCTGTTCTTTTTTTTGCTTATCCTTTTCTCCCCTCCCAGCCAGGGGACTGAGGTTACCCTTACCCCCGGTTGTTTCCCAGTGCACTCGCAGCTCAGTGCCGGGACCGCAGGGGTGAAGGAGGGACACCTGCAGCTGTTGAAGGACTGTGCTGTCCACCAGGTACCCAAGGAGGTGGTGGAAGGCAAACTCTTGCTGCAAAGTGGCCCGAGCTGAGGTGGGGACGCCCTGGCCTGCATCATACGATGCTGGCTACGCCCCAGCAGGCGAAAGAACAAAGCTTTTCCTGGCACCCTCAGGAATTTACCCCCAGCAATGTGTCTGTGAGTCGGGCTGCTCCAGCCCCAGATAACCCAAGCTCTGACCTTGCAGGAACAGTTGTGTTATTGCTTCCACGCTCCTGAACTCAGCTTAGTCTTTGTGGTAGAGAAAGCCTCACTCTGAACTCTGTCTAGCCAAAAAAAAAAAAAAAAAAAAAAAAGAGTGTTTTCCACTCAATATTCCTTGAGTTAGGGATTCATAATTGTGTGAAAAGGGTTTATATTCTACTCCTACAGCACTGCTCGTTTTTGCATTCCCTTAATAAGAGGGTGGCAAAATCTGGGGCAAATTGTGAGCAGAGGTGAGCCCATATTCCCCAGGCTAGGGCTTCCTCCAGCCCCTGCTTTGGCAGCTGGGGGGCCCCAACCCGCAGCCGCGTTTCCCTGTCGCAGCAGGTGCCGCTCCCCACGCCGGCAGCTCCTCGGCAGATGTCTGCCGGGCCCTCACCGAGAGCAAGGCTCGCAGGAGTCGCTGATGCAAATATTTTTGTTATTCCCTTTCATTATTATAATGCACAGAAATAGAGAGAGAGGGAGACGTCGTGCACCACTGAAAAAAGAAATTAACTCTGCTTTGAAGTTAGTTGTAAAACAAGAGAAAAAAAAGGACCAGGAAAAAATCCTCCAACTCTAAGTGAGGCTGTGCCACGCTGCTTATTGACGGGTCTCAGTTGCCTTATGGCTGAGAAAATGTATAGCTGGCTCTCGCCTCGGGGCTGTTTGCAGCACAGTAAATGGGCTTGTTCAGTTTAATTGGAAGACAAGCAGTGATTGTATTTTTGTAACCTATAAACTGTACTGCCTCGTGGTCTAGAATCACGCTCAAAATTAGTCTGAAGTATGAGTGAGGGCCTCATTTCTAGTCCCCCTTCATCTTGATTAAATAATGATTTGAAACAAAAAAATCCAATAAATATGTCTCTTGCATTCCCTTGAGGGCAGCACTAGGTCCCCTGCTGAAAGCTGGAGGAAGCAAAGTTCACTGAGATTATTTAATTACTTATTAGAGAGGAGGAAAAAAAATCCAAATGTTCGTGTAGAGAAAATTAGATTCATGAAAGAGCAGAGTCTTTCAGGACACCCTAGAAAAATAAAAGGCCATTAGAATTCAATGGAGCTTCACACAGTGTTTTCACATGTAGTGCTCTGCTTCAGTCTCGTGTGGCTGGCGTGCCGTTCAGAAGCAGTAAAATGGGACCAGAAGCAAAGCCAGGGTTGTCAGACGGGGAATTTGTCCAAGCAGACAGGCAAGGTAAGCACTTTGAGGCTTGCCCTGGCTCTTGCCACAGGACAGAAATCTCCCCTGGAGCTGCAGCCGGGTGCCCTGAGGTGGTGGGGCTGGGAAGCTGCTGTGCCACCCCAGGACTTGCCTTGCTCCAGCCAGACCCTCCAACCCTCGCAAGGACCGTGGGCTCCATATTTCCCCACTACCCACGTGTTGCCTTTTCCCACAGTGCTGCTACCACAGAAGTTGAGCTACTGAGGAACTTGTTGATCTACCGGTCATTCAACAGGTTTTGTGACATGCTGACAGCAGTTGCTACTTTGAAGGGACGTTGGCGAAGGCAAAGCAAAATTACACCTCTTGCGTCCCAGCAGCAGTCTTAAAAGCTGTTCTAGAAACACAAGAGAACTGCTGTATTTCTTGGCAGGCACTGGAATGGACTGCCTAGGGAGGTGGTTGAGTCGCCATCCCTGGATGTGTCGCTTAGATGTGGTGTTGGGTGCTATGGTTTAGGGGTGAACTTGTAGTGTAGGGTTAATGGTTGGACTCAATGATCCCAAGGGTCTTTTCCAACCTAGATTGTTCTATAAGTCTATGATTCTAAATAAGGGCCTTGTGGTTTAGACTGGGAAGGAGCACAAGTGAGGTGTTTACGTGTGTGAGGCTGAGGTTAGTCCCTTGGAGCAGCCCTGTGCCCACGCCAGCCTTTCCTACCTCCAGGGAGGCCAGGGAGTCCTCACATGGTGGTTTTATGCCTGTAAATGAAAGGTGGTCAAAAGCTGTTTTTTCTCTTGGTTAGGGTTTGGATCTAAGGGAAACCATAACCCATCTTTAAAACAAATATCTGGTGCCATATTTGAAAGCGCAAATTTGAGATTGTTCAGCCTGGAGAAGATTCTGAGGCGACCTTATCACAGCTTTCCAATACCTGAAGGGAACCTTCAGGGAGGTTGGGGAGGGACATTTTACAAGAGTGACCAGCCATAGGACAAGGGGAAATGGATTTAAATTGCAGGAGAATAGGTTTAGATTGGGTCTTAGGAAGAAATTCTTCAGTACGAGGGTGGCAAGACTTTGGAATAAATTGCCCAGAGATGCTGTGGCTGCCCCCTCCCTGGAGGTGTTCAGGGCCAG